TCTCGGGATCTTGGGCATGCACGCACACGCGCTCAGCGTGAGTTTTAAGTCACCAGGTCCGGGACTCAAATTGTGGTCGACTACGTGGGAGTCCAGTGACATAGCCGTTACGCTAACTGCTGGTTCCCATCTAGTTCCTCCTTTCTTCAAGAACCTGGGTGGATCCCAGCAGCACAGTATACCAAGCCCTTCCAAGCAGAGCACAGGATTCCTCTCCAGTTGTTCACCAAACACTGCCTTGGTACTCACATCTTTTCCCTAGCCATAGCTGACAACTGGGAGGTCTTGGGACACAGCACGCTGCTAGCCACCTCGGTCCATGACTTTGCCCAATGCCTTCCTCATCAGCCGCATTATTTAAGATACCCCTCTCCTCCAGCCCCTTCTCCCCAGGCCCATTTCCTCTTTCCTTCCTTTGTTGAGCCACTCTAATGAAAACAAAGTCCTCCCTTCACAGTGCTCCTCCATGTAAGAGAGACCCCAGGAAACATTTGGAAATGTGTACAAGTGTTTTTGGTTGCCATGTGAGTCAGAGGGCATTGCTAGAAGGGGAAGCAGGGAGTTAAATGCCTCGTGATACAGAGGACAGGCCTGTAGAATAAAGAATTTTCTCACACAAAATGCCATCCGCATTTCTGTTGAGAAATACTGCATAATAATGTACTACATTATAATCATTTACTTATGTGGCTAAGAGCCCCTGAGGACAAAGACCATTTTCTTCGCATTTATATCCCTAGCACTGAGGATAAAGAATGCAGATAGGGCCACTGCCGTGGTGCAGAGGTAGCACATCTCCCCACGGTGCTGAAACCATGTGGAAGATCAGAGTTCAGTTCCAGCTAACCTGTACATGCTGGGTGCCCATGTGCACCTATGGTTCTGGCTGGCTGGGAAGCCTGAGGAAGGATCACAGTGTGAAATCCTGTTTAAGGGTATCTGCCTTTTTTTCTGTCTCTCTCTCCCATTCAATCAATCAATGAGCTTTTTTTCTTTCTCTTTTTGTTTTGTTTTTTTGCCATAGGGCATGTGCATTGACCAGATACAGACAGAAAGAGACAGAGGGAAGGTGAAAAATCACCCTCCCAGGGGAGATGGCCATACCACAATCCCTTGTCCTCCATTCTCCTCTCAGGATTTTGGGCACACACACACACACATGTGCCTGGCATGATTTTCGAGCCACCAGGCCCATGACTCAAACTGTGGTTGGACATACAAGGAGTCCAGCACACTAACCACCACGCCACCTGCTGGCCCTTCACTAAACTTTTTTTAAGATTTCATTTTATTTATTATTATTTTTTTTAATTTGACCACAGAGACACACACAGAGAGAGGGAGGGAAAGTGAGAAAGCAAGCCACCAGGTCCAAGATTTGAACCATGGTCGCCCATGTGGGAGTCCAACACCTTAACCACCACATCGCCTGCTGGCCCCTAAATACAATTTTTTTAAAAAAAAGACTGGCAGGGCCGGCTCTGTGGCCTGCTGGTTAAGGCAGCAGGAGCCCACATGGCCAACTGTGCAGTTCCAGTCCCAAACCTGGTAGCTCGAGAAACAAGCGGGACGCACAAGTGTGTGTACATGCCCAAAATCCCAAAAGGAAGTTGAAATGGAGAAGGGAAGGGATTGTAGTGTGATCATGCCCCCATTGTGGGGGATGCTTTCTCCTCTCTCTCTCTCTCTCTCTCTCTCTCTCTCTCTCTCTCTCTCTCTCTGCCTCTCTTGGTAAGCACACACACCCTCTAGGGAAAAAAAAAAGTATACAGATAACAGATTATCTTTTCATTGTTTGCCAAAGAACAAACAAAGCAGGTAATTATTGAGCATAACTAGAATGTAAACTCCAAGAGAATGGAATCTTGTCTGCTTTGCTCACTGCTGTATATCTAGCACAGAATAGAGGTTCAACGAATGGATGTCAGGAAGTAGGTATAACTTCAACTCAGATCCTGTTGCTGAAGAGCACTCTGACTAGTGGAAAAGAAAGTATGTGCTCACACACATCTCTGTAGGAAAGGGAGTAGCAGATGCCAGGAGAGAGGGTCAGAGAGCAGGTGCTAAGGAATGAGTCCTAAAGATACAACAGGTCCCAGGAGCTGGGAGGATCAGGGGAAGATTGGAGCAGAGTGACCCTGAGGCACAGGGGGGCTGGAGATACACAGACCTAGAGCACAAGGAATTTCAAGCAAAGGAAAAAGAATAAGCAATGATACTCATTCGCTCACTATTTAAATTACAGTTTATTATAATGACAAATTAGTGCCACACAATGGAAATGCACAAATTATCAACTCCCTATTGTTAGTATGCCTGGTGTCCGGTGGTGAGCATGAAGGAGGTACATAAATGGTAAATTGGAAGGAAAATACTTGGAAAGGTAGGTTTGAGCTAGTTCATGAAGCACCTCGCACCCTGTTCTAAGTTTACCCTTTTTTTTTTTTGGTTTTGGTTTTCTTTTATTTTAGTTTCATTCACTGTATATCACTTCAGCATACAAAATAAATTTTTCCATCCAGAACACACTGAATACTAGCCCAATCAAAGATATTACCATACCCATTATCTTCATCTTCAACAGGTAATTTTCCATTTTGTGTTTCTTTTTTTAAATTATTTTATTCAATTTCATTTATTTATTCATTCATTTATTTAAATTTGACCAGAGAGACACAGAAAGAGAGAGAGAGGAAAGTGAGAAAGCAAGCCACCAGGTCCGGGACTCAAACTATGGTCAGCCATGTGGGAGTGTCCAGCGCCTTAACCACCACGCCACTTGCCGGTCCCCCATTTTGTGTTTCTTAAGTGAAGCAAGCCGGGCTATGAAAGAGAGGCATTACATGTCCCCACTTAATATATACCGAATGTCTGCACTCTATGGCAGAAACTGTAATATTGGACAATAAAAAGGCACGGAGAGCAACTGTGGACACAAGAGACGGTGTGGGAGGAGGGTGGGAAGTGGCAGAGGGTGAGAGAGAGGGAATCGGGAAAAAAGAAAGAACTAAGTTTAGCCTTTAACCTACAGATGTTATTGAAGGTTTGTTTTTTTTGTTTGTTTTCGTTTGGTTTGGTTTTTTTTTTTGGAGAGGTTTTGTTTTGCTATAGGATGTGTGCCCTCGCCAGAAAGACAGAGAGAGACAGAGAGACAGAGAGACAGAAAGCAAGAAATCACCCCCCAGGGGGGATGGGCATGATGCAATCCCTTCTCCTTCAGTCTCCTCTCATGATCTTGGGCACGCACGCACACACACCCAGTGTGATTTTTAAGCCACCGGGTCCGGGACTCGAACCACAGTCGGCTACATGGGAGTTCAGCAACATAGCCACTATGCTAACTACTGGTCTCTTGAAGGTTTTTGAGAAGGGGTGACCTAATTCAAGATCAGCCTTGGAAGATTAATCTGGTAAAATATGTAAAATTAACAGAGAGCACAAACTAGAGGAAGGCAGATTAATAAAAGACAGGCCAGCTCTGTAGCCTGGTGGTTAAGGTAACCAAATTCCACGTGACCAACCTTGTAGTTCAAGTCCCAAACCCAACAGCTTGAGCAACACACCAGGCACCAGGCAACACACCCAAATCCCAACAGGATGAAGAAAAGGAGGAAAAAGGATTGTGGCATAACCATTCCCCATGGAGGGTGTTTTCTGTTTCTTTCTCTCTGGTAAGCACACACGCTCTCTAGCAGAATTTTAAAAAATAAAAGACAGTGAAGACAGAAATCACACAAAAGGCAGTGTGAACTTGAATAAAACCTAGGGCCTGGGAAATGGGGAAAAAGACTTCTGGTGAGTTAGGGTGAATAATAAATTTGCCAGACTAGGTAAAAGACTACAAGGGGAAAGGAGAAAGTAAAGCTACCCCAAGGGTGTGGAGATGGGAAACAGGAGGCTGGCGAAGGGAAGGCTGGAGGAGGTTTAGGATTTGTCACTTTTGGCTTGAAATGCACTGGACGTAAGGTAGCGGCAGTACGTCTAAGTGGAGAAATGTCACAGGCACTCAGAAAGGTGGGTGTGAAGGTCAAGCCTAGAATAGAGACCTGGGACTGCCTCGACAGCACTGACAATAAGTTAACATTGGTTAACAGTGGCCAACAATGGTTGCTATTTGAAAGGCACTGTACAAAGTACTTTATATGAGTGGCTTGGATTTTTATTTTTCATTTCATCCTGACTAACCATATAATATGGTACTATAACTGTTTTCATGTTACACTTGAGAAAAGGGGCTCAGAGAAGGTCAATAATTTACCCACAGTCTTATGGTTATGGTTAATAAGCAGCAGACCTGGGATCAGAGTCTACTCCATCTAAACCAGTGGCCGAGTACTTATCCCAGGCCACCTCTCTGGAATAGAAAGGATTACTCAAGTCGTGAGTGATTAGTCGAACAGCCAATTAGTAATGAAAATCCCAACAGGACAGAGAAAAGAAGAAGGGATTGCAGTGTGACCATGCCCCATTAGGGAATGCTTTCTTCCACGCTTGCTCTCTCTGTCGAGTGCATGCACCCTCTAGCAATTAAAAAAAAAAAATGAAGGTCAGCAGATGGTGTAGTTGATAAAGGCGCTGGATTCCCACAGGCCGACCATGGTTCAAGTCCCGGACCTGGTGGCTTGCTTTCTCACTTTCCCTTTCTCTCTCTCTCTCTCTCTGTCTCTTTCTGGTCAAATTAAAATAATAATAATAAATGGAATTAAATAAATAATCCTTTTTTAGAAAAGTGAAGTCATGGGCTAGCAGGCAGCATGATGGTTAAGGTACTGGATCCCACATGGCTGACTCTGAAGTTTGAGTCCTGGACCCAGCATCCTGAAAAACACTGAGTGCAAGTACCCTCAATCCTGAGAGGAGAATGGAGAAGAAGGGGTTGTCACATGGCCATCCTCCCCTACTGGGGGGTGATTTCTCACTTCCCTTCTCTCTGTCTCTGGCAAGTGCATACACAGTATGAAAAAAAAGTCTTAAAAAAAAAAAAAAAAACAAACCTTGCACTGGTGTAGGGTGAGCCCTTACCCAATATGATTCCTATTCTACTAAGAGAAGAGCCACGGAGACACAAACACATAAGAAAAGCCACATGATAAAAGGCAGCACTGGAATGCAGTGCTACAGCTACAAGCCAAAGATTGCCAGCAAACAAGCAGAAGCAAATAGAGAAAGGAAGGATTCTCTCCTGCAAGTTTCAAAGGGAGCATATTCCCGCCAACACTTTGATTTTAGTCTTCTAGCCTCCAAACGGTGGGTCAGTAAATATCTGTTGTCAAGCCACCAGTCTGTGGTACTTTGTGGTACAGGAAACTAACACAGCAATCAATCCTATTCACACCTACTATAACTCAGACTTTTATGAAAGTCTCCTAGGTAAAACCAGAAATGAGCACTTTAACAGGAAGCCATGTAGGATTAGAAAGTAAGAAATATTGCATGTAAACACCAAATAATATGTCAGCCTTTGTCCAGAAAGAAAGTATTAATTACCTACCATCTATATGACATAAATTTTCAACTGTTCTAGAAGCAGTGAGCTATGTGCCTATCTAAGGATAGGTGCATAAGCTTTTCTTTCCCCAAGATTAACTGGTTATACCTGAACAGCGGACAATCCCCCGACATACACATACCTGGAACATTCGCATCTTCACTTCCATGGAAGTCTTTCCTACCCAGCTAACATGGCCACTGAACTTAATGTCTTGTTCTGGGCTTAAGCTCTTCTTACATAGATCTGAAAAACCAAACATCAATCTGAATCTAAACCATACCAAAAAAATTCTGTTCTCTAAATGGAAAAATTCATTTGAAATCATGGCAATTTGCTGTACATTTCCTTCTTGTCTTTAAAACTAAAATAACTTGTTTGACATACAAAAGAAATTTGTATATCTTTTTGAAAACTGGACAATGCAAATAATTTTAAAAAATAAAACTGGAATCATGTAAAACCTCTCTTAATTATAATAAATATCTTGGTATAACATTCTAGACATTTTCTCTCTTTTTAAAAAGATTTATTTATCATTATTTTTTCCCCCTAATTTGCTACAGGTCACATGTGCTCACCAGAGAGAGCTAGAGCCAGACAGAGAGATAAAGTGGCCAGACAGAAAGAAAAAGTGAGAAAGCAAGCCACTAGGTCTGGGACTCGAACTGTGGTTGGCCATGTGGGAGTCCAGTGCCTCAACATGATGCCACCCTCTGGCCCTGAGACATTTTTACATACATATATTCACTAAAATTCCCCATAAAGTAGAGTATTCCCTCTAATTTCAGTGATGTCCTATAATTACTAATAATTCTAAGTATGCATAAAAAATTATTTTGCTGGGCTGCCCCATAGGATGGTAGTTAAGGTGGCCAGATCCACCACATGGCACACCATGCAGTTCAAGTACCAGACCCAGTAGCTTGAAAAACATACTAGGTGCATATGCATGTATGCCCAAAATCTTGAAACGAAGGAGAGATGGAGGAGAAGGGATTGTGACATGACCACCACCCATGAGGGGTGCTTTCTCATTCTTCCCTTCACCCACCCCATCTCTCTCTGGCAAGCACATGTACTCTCTGGCAATTTTTTTTTAATTATATTGCTTACCAATCTTGTCCACCAGAGCCGTAACTATTGATAAAGGAGACATCTTAGCTGAATGAATTTTGTTGTGCATGTAGCAAATAAGAACTGCAAGAAAACAGAGTCGCAAATGAGGAAAAAGCAAAATTATTTCTCAACATTTATAATTTACTCCCTAAAATCTATACGAAGTCTTACCTTGTTTTGAAGGACTCAATCTCTGATATTCTACTGATGATCTTATACCAGAACCAAAGACTTTATTATAAACTGTAGAGATTTTAAGATTCTCTAATCTGATTGCTCACAATGCTTCTAATTTTAGATCTGGCGAAGAAACAAAAGCCAAGGCCCACGTGGCTTGTCACCACTCCACAGAGATAGAGTGCTTAAATCAAAGTAATAACCCAGGGGGCTAGATGGTAGTATAGTGGTAAAACACGATGCTTTGTGAGGCGTACCCACATGGAGGTTTGGGGATGAAGCCTGGGTTTGCATCTAGAAACCTCCCTGGGCATGTCAGGCTCACATATGCTCATGATCTAGTGCTTTCTGGGGGTGTGGTTGGATTACAACATCAAAACCATGTTGGGGGTATAGCAGGTAGTATAGTGGTTAAGGCGCTGGACTCCCATAAGGCCAACCGCAGTTCGAGTTCCCAACCTGGTAGCTTGAGGCTCACACTGGGCATTGTGTGCACACATGCCCAAAATCCTGAGAGGAGAATGACGGAGAGTGGCCATTCCCCTTAGGGGATGATTTCTCACTTTCTGTCTCTCTCTCTCTCCAGTGAGTGCAAGAACAAAACAACAACAAAAAAAAAAACATGTTGGGAGTGCCTATCTCTCTTGCTCATGGAAGAAATTTAAAAAGAAACTTTAAAAAGATAAAAAGAGGAGCTGGCAGGTGGCATGATGGTTAAGGGTGCTGGATTCTAACATGACCGACTGTGGTTCAAGTCCTGGATCTGGTGGCTTGCTTTCTCACTCCCCCCACCTTGCTCTGTCCCTCTATGGTCAAATTAAAATAAATAAAGTTAAATAAAATAATATAAATAAAGAAATAAAAAGAATAGGAACCCAGCATGTCTGGCAACATCAAACATCTTCAGTAAAGAGAAATCATAAGCACCCAGCTACCTATTTTTCTCTCAGGGAAACAATGAACTAATTATTTCTCTTAGTTATGTCTCCTCCCCCATAACACCCTCAGCTCTGACACCACACTGTGCTTACCATCATATTTTTCCATATTTTAACACATTTATGTGCACCATGCATGGCCCTATGCACCTTACCAACATCAACTCATTTAAACTTGTATTAGAATGAAGTGTTTATTGGCCTCCTTGCTTTCCTCATGATTCATTCAAATCTGTATCACCTCCCCTCAGGAGAGGATTCAACAAGTGCTTTGCTGAGTGACAGTAAATCCTTCCACTCACACGTGTGCTGAAGGAATGCACTGGGCAATGAGAGGCTGAAGGCAAGAAAGTCCATTTAAAAGCCTTTGCGATGCCCAGAAAAGAAACTATGTGGTACGTACTATGGCAATAGCAGTGGAGATAAAGGTGAAGAGATTCGACAGCTAAGAAAATGGGAGATTTGGCAAGACTTGAATAAATCCAGCTTTTCAGTGTGGATGAGTGAGGACAGTGTACCATTCACTAAAAAGGAGAATACAAGAAGAGGAAAATGGGCTGTTTCCAGTATGCTGAATTTGAGATGCCTGTGGCACACCCAAATGAAGCTATTCAGTAGGTAGGAGAACACACTAACTGGACTTCAGAAAAGCATAAGATAATTTGGACAGAATGCGCAAAGTTAACCCAAAAAAAAAGGGCAGACAACAAAGCCCTAGGGATAACCAACATTTACGGGATCAACAGAGAAAAATAAACCTTCAAAAGAAAATGGGAACGAACAGCCAAAGAGGTAGGAGAGAAATGTCTTCAACACCCAAGGACAAATTGGACAATATTAGAAGTCACAAAGGGGTCAAGTAAGGCCTGGAAAGAATCCATTACATTGTGCAATAAGGGGGCCAATGGTGAGCTTAGCAAGAGCATTTCAATGGCACAGAGAAGCAGAAGCCAGACACAGAACGCTGACACAAACAGGAGGTTAGGTTAAAGAGGTAATGACAGCTGGGAACCAGCAGTTAGCGTAATGGCTATGTCGCTGGACTCCCAAGTAGTCAACCACAGTTCGCGTCCTGGACCCGGTGGCTTAAAACTCACGCCGGGCATGTGTGTGTGTGCATGCCCAAGATCCCGAGAGGAGAATGGAGGAGAAGGGATTGCGGCGTGCCCATCCCCTCTGGGGGGTGATTTCTCGCTTTCTGTCTCTATGTCTCTCTGTCTGTCTGGCGAGCGCACGCGCCCTATAGCAAAAACCTCTCCAAAAAAAAAAAAAAAGAGGTAATGACAGCTGATGATTGTTACAATTCTTTTCAAAATGTTAGCTATGAAGTAAGTGAGAAAGACAGTTTGAAAGTGTAATAAAGAAAAGAGCTTTTACCTATTTTTTTTTATGTTTTTTTTTTCTTTTTTTTGGAGAGGTTTTTGCTATAGGGCGCGTGCACTCGCCAGACAGACAGAGAGAGACAGAGAGATAGAAAGCAGGAAATCACCCCCCAGGGGGGATGGCCACGCCGCAATCCCTTCTCCTCCATTCCCCTCTCGGGATCTTGGGCACGCACGCACACGCGACCGGCATGAGTTTAAGCCACTGGGTCCGGGACTCGAACCGTGGTCAACTACGTGGGAGTCCAGCGACATAGCCATTATGCTAACTGCTGGTCCCTATTTTTTAAATAGTTTTTTCATTGCCAGAGGGCACATGTACTCACCAGAGACAAAGAGGGAAGGAGAAAGAAACCCCCCTCCCCTAATGGGACATGGTCACATTACAATCCCTTCTCCTCCATTCATCATCCCCTCGGGATTTTGGGGACATATGTACATAGACCTGGCATGTTTTTAAGCCACCAGGGCCGAGATATGAACCATAATCAGCCATGTGGGATCTAGCTCCCTTAACCACGAGGCTATGGGGCCAGCTCTATTTTAAATTCTTTATTTTTTGGAGAGGTTTTTGCTATAGGGTGCATGTGCTTGCCAGAAAGACAGAGAGACAGAGAGCGAGAAATCACCCCCCCAGGGGGGATGGTCACACCACAATCTCTCCTCCTCCATTCTCCTCTCAGGATCTTGGGCACGCACGCACACACACCCAGTGTGAGTTTAAGCCACCAGGTCCAGGACTCAAACCACAGTTGACTACATAGGAGTCCAGCAACATAGCTATTACACCACCTGCTGGTCCCTCTATTTTAAATTTTAACATGGAAGAGTATGTTTATAGCTTAAGGGAAAAGTGAAGTTGAAAAAAAGGCTTGAAATGTGGGGGAGAAGGCATTAAGTGATAAGGTAAGTTCCTTGAAAAACAGGGCAATCAAGTGAACAGGTAAAAGGGATTAGCCATCAACAGGAGGTAACGAAGAAAAACAGGGCAGTGGCAGAGAATATGTGTATATAGGGACACCTGAGAAAAGCAAAGTCAAATAGATAAATATGAAGATGTGTGTAAAGGAAATTAAACAAAAAAAAAGTAAGAATTTTTAACTAGGGAGCGACAACTGGTGGCACAAGAGTAATGCACTGGAGCCACATGGGAAAGGTCCTGGGTTTGTGTCCCAGGACCTTCCTGAAAACAAGTGCATGTATACCCATGATCAAGCTGGCTGAGACTGGGAGTGGATCATGGCAATGAAGACCATGTTGTGGGTGCCCATTTCTCTCTCTCTCTCTCTCTCTCTTTCTCTCTCTGTCTCTTTCATGGAATAAATAAACTGAAGAAAAAATCTTTAACTACATTTATTTAACCTGAAGAAAAAAGTAGCCAGGTGGAAGCCTACCCATGGGCCTAACTCTATATTTAGGTCTATATTTCGAGGGCAGACCTCATAGTGCAGTGGAAATGAGATCCCTCATGGCTGACCAGGCTTCAAGTCCTAAACTCACTGATGAACACATCAGGACACATACCCAGGATCCTGATGGTAAGGAGAATTACAGAGAAAAAGGCTGTGGTGGGATCAGCAGATGGTGTAATGACTATGTCACTGGACTCCCATGTAGACGACTGTGGTTTGAGTCCCAGACCCGGTGGCTTAAACTCACAATGGGCGTATGTGCATGTGTGCCCAAGATCCAGAGAGAAGGGAGTGCAGCGTGGCCATCCCCCCTGGGGGGTGATTTCTCACTTTCTGTCTCTCTCTCTCTCTCTCTCTCTCTGTCTTTCTGGAGAATACACACGCACTATAGCAAAAACCTCTCCAAAAACAGAAAAAAATAGACTGGTGTGATGGGAGAGAAAAGGACTGTGATATAATCTGGCCCTATTGGGGGATGCTTTCTCTTCCCTACTCCCCAGCCCACACAAAGGCCCTCTGGTATTTTTTTTTAAAAAGTCATTAGAGGGGCCAGCAGGTAGCATGGTGGCTAGGCGTTGGGTTGCCACACAGCCAACCACAGTTCAAGTCCCGGACCCAGCAGCTTGAAACTTATACCAGGCATGTGTGTGTGTGTGTGTGTGCATGCCCATAATCCCAGGAGAAGGGATTGTGGCCATATCCCCTGGGGGGTGATTTTCCACTTGCCCTTTCTCTGTCTCTCACGAACTAGTGCATAAGCCCTACAGCAAAAAAAAAAAAAAAACATATATTCATATGTATATATGTATAGACCCACATACACATATACATAAAGTCATTAGAAAAGCTGGGTTTGGGGAACAGCAGATGGCATAGTGGTTACATCACTGAATTCCCACATGGCCAACCACAGTTCAAGTCCCAGACCCAGTGGCTTCAAAATCACACTGGGCATATGTGCATGCATGCCCAAGATTCCAGGAGGAGAATGGAGGAGAAGGGATTGTGGCATGGCCACGCCCCACCAGAGGGGGGGTTTCTCACTTTC